GTCCACACATCTTAGAGTCGCTGAGGTTGAGAAACCCTGCTTTAAACACTTCCCATTTTACATATACATCTTCTGTTTTGCAAGGGAAGAACTCATAACAAAGGACATAATTGACGATTACGTCACTTTTCTTCCCTTTTTCCCCTCCACCGAGATCTGGATGAGAATCGGTGGGTTTAAATTCTGGGCAGGGAGTCCGAGGTTAAACGTTTGGAACGATCGCCTGCTTACAGACATCCTGCCGCATCAGCGCCCGTCCGGGTGAGCAGGAGCCTATGCCTTTCGTTGTTTTGCACGGAGGCTTTTCAAACCGAGATTAGCTCAGGAGGGCTTCGGGGTGAGGCCAAGACAATGTTGTCTCTGAAGACAGCTGCCCTGTGCTTCTCACCAGCCAGCTGGGCGAGGGCTGTCAGAACAGGTCCTGCCAGCCCTATTAGCAAGCCGCCCTCGCGCTGGGCCGCATGACAAGGTGTGAAGGCGCAGAGGGAGAGGCTGGAGCGTGCCAGGGGACGGGGGTCTTGGCTGGTGGGGGGGGCAGGGCAGAAAGACAGGGAGGGAGGGAGGGAGGGAGGCAAGACCTGTGCAGGCTGGCGACAGCATCCAAGGGGTGGGAAGCAGCTGGTAATTAGCCTCGCCCGCCTGCATCATGCCAGCTTCTGGGCCTGGAGAAGTGAGGAAGTTCAGCATGCAAGGAAGCAATTATCCAGAGCATGCAACTCTGGGGGAAAGGGAAAGAGGGCAGCCCCACTGCTTTGGGGGGTGGGGGGGACAATAGACAGGTCGGGGCTCCAGGACAGAAGCTGCTAACTCTGCCCCACTCCGGACCTCTTTGCAAGGCAAAGGCTGACTCCCCCTTCCTTGGCGCAGTTTCCGAAAGAGGAAGACCTTGTCCAGCAGAAGACGACAAACATCTCAAAACAACCCCCCAACCCACAACTGTTCCAGCATGATCTAGGGCAAGGCACCAATTTTCATCTTGGATCCAGGAAGAGGCCAACCCAGGGACCCCCATTTAGCCACCTTGTCCCCAGTGCTGTTTCCAAGGCAATCGCTGGGGCCCAGAATTGGTTTGACCCCCCCCGAAAATGCCTCTCCAGTTGAGCAACCTCATGGAAGGCATGGAAAGGGGGGGGGTCCAAAGAGATGGGGAGGTGTAAAACAGAGAGGGAAGGAGGCTGAAACCCTGGAGGTTGAGAAGAGGCACCAGATAGGTCAAGAGCAGTTGATCTGAGAGTTTTAAAGGGCGGGGGGGGGGGGTAAATAGCATAGGAAATGAGATTGCAAATTAACGCTTTGGCTTATAAATTGCAAATCCCCGGGGCTCACCCCTGCTGCTTGGTAAAGCACCATGGACACACTGGGTGTGTGTGTGTGTGCGCACGCGCGTGTGCACGCACATGTGTGTCTTCCATACAAATTCTGGGAAGCTGGGAAGCTGGGAACTCCTATAGAGTCAGGCCAGCCCAATCTCAGAAGGTTGAAAAGGTTCTGGCCCAATTTCTCCTCAAGCAATGTGCTTGAGCTCCATAGGTTTGGCGGGGTGTCAACCCTACAAGGTAGGCCAGGTCAGGAAAGAGACTCCCCAGGACTATGGGAACCTGCTTATTGTTGCAAGGTATAACAACAGAATTTTGAAAGTCTGTTCTCCCTCCCTCTTCTCATACTCAAGAGAATCAAGGCAAAGCAATCTTGAGTTTCTTCCTCACAGTCTCTTCCATTCTGGAACTTTGCTGCTGAATACCTTCTTCAAGGCCATCTCTGTACCCCGCACAGGATGCGACTGCTCATTGATCATCTTCCCCCCACTTCAGAACTTGGTTTATGACTGGGATGGTCTAGGGCTTGCTGATAGACTGATACCAGGGACTAGTCACTTGGCTGAAGCCCCGGAAGAGAGGGAGGGGCTGGGGAGGTACCTGAGTTTAAGTCCCTCCTTGGCCATCTGTTCCAGAAGCTGACCCTGAGGATTCAGCTCAACCCCATGGATGGTGCCTCAATCCTGTCTCCCACATGGTGAAACTGCTGGGTGAGATCCAGTGCCCTCCTCTGCTCCATTTTTCCCATCTACAGTACTGTTTGGGACCCAGTAACATTTGGAGTGGCCATGTTCCCAGAAGGCATTGAAGTCCATCCATCTTCAAGTTGCCAAGGTTGAAAAACACTGATCTAGGACTAATCCACTACAGACAGTCCTCACTTAACAACCATTCATTTAGTGACTGTTCAAAGTTACAACGGTGCTGAACAAAGGGACTTACAACCGGACCTTGCACTTACAACCGTCGCAGCACCCCTATGGTCACGTGATCACAATCCAGGCGCTTGGCGACCAGCTCGCACTTACAACAGTTGCAGCATTCCGGAGTCCTGTGATCACCATTTGCGACCTTCCCAACCAGCTTCCAGCAAGCAAAATCAGTGGGGAAACACATGATTTGCTTAACAACCTTGTGATTCGCTTAATGACCGCTGCAAAACAGGTCATAAAATCGGGCGCAACTCGTTTAACAATCGCCCTGCTTGACCACAAATTTTCTGGTCCCTATTGTGGTCGTTAAGCGAAGACTCCCTGAACTACAATGTTTGCTCCTGAAAAAGCCAGGGAGGTGCGCGATAGCCTCAGCCTTTACTTATGGCTCAGCTGCAGCACGTTTTATCTGAAACCACAAATCTTCCAAGTACAGCACTGAAGAAATTGGGCGATGCTTGCAGTCTGCGCCACGGTTCTCCATCATGCAACGGCTGTGGTTGCTTTCCCCAGCCCCCCCCAACTGGGGAACCCCCCCATGGGTAGGCGAGAAGGCGCACTTTCTGGTGGCCCTTCAGCGTGGCGACCAGCTGCCTCTTTAGAAAGCATTCAGCGTGAGTGTGATCTTGAGGGTTCCTGTTAGGGACTATCACCCTGCTTCTCACGTTGCCTCGCATCAGCTTATGCACCCCGAATAAGGCAGAAGCACTCCAAAGTTTTATAGCAATAATTACGCTAGGACATCCTTCCTGATTCCCAGCAACCGATGAGTTTTTTTCTGC